TTTTTTTTTTTTTTTTTTTGGTTACCTTCCTCATATAGAGCGATTGTTGTATTAAAAAAGTGGGGAATTGCCCCCATGACAATTGATCATTGTCATGGGGGCAATTCCGTTCTTTTATTTATTTATTTTTTTTCTTTTATGAGGAGAATAAAAATTGGTGCTCCTCAGAGCAAAAGTGAATGCATCTGCACTAACACCACTGAGAGAGAAAGAGAGAAGGTAAAGAATCAGGTCACACTATCAGCAGTCATGGTCTTCAAGTACTATTGTTGAAGTACCTTTGAGAAAGGACGTTTGGCCTAGATGGTGGGGAGAAAAAGTGATGGCCTGATTGGTGCCCGAGAACACCCAAATTTGGCATTTCCGGACGAGTACAGAATCGGTAGAGGAGGTGAGGTGGATTGCAGACCTTCTTCACATCCATTGAGTACACGAAAGGCTACTTTTTAATGCGATGTGATGAATAATTAATCCTCCTCCCATCCTCGTGGGTCTGCTATGGCCTGAGAGACGACTTGTTTATTTATACGTGGCGCTTTATGAAGCCAGTTGGGGGAAAAAAAAAGAGAATTTGGAAATTAAAGTTTACTTCGGGTGGTTGATAATAACAGACCATTTTAGAGATGAAGAAGGAAATGGCAAAAAAGAGACGAATGAAAAAGGAGAAGGTGAGGAGGAGACAAGGAAAGGAGAGTGGATAAAAAGGGGTGGAGGTTAACAGCATTGAGTGGGAAAAGAAGAAGGAAAGGCAAACCGCCTTTCAGGGGGAAAGGATTTCAAAACCCCTCCTCCCAGGCCAATAAGTCAATGTCACTAATGCCTCGCAGCACTTTTATTTGACAAGAGAGGACTTTTAAGGCTCCCAACCTCCCATTGCCATAAAAATGTCAAAACTTTTACTCTCCAGAATCATGCAATGCCAATTTTTTTTTTTTTGGAACGAATATGAAATAAGAAATCATCAAAAGTGACTAGAGTGTTGTGAAATTATCTGTTAAACAAATGAAAGGGGTAAAAAGTGATAATATACCATGCAGGATGCCAAGTTTATGCAATTTACAGCACGCGTGACTTGACAAATTTGACAGGTCCTAAAATTGGCCCTTTTTGGCTCCAAACAACGAAGTCAGATGCTGATGGTGGGAAGAGGAGGGAGGGGAAAGGCGTAGGGGGAAAGAGAGAAGCTCAGTAGGTAATTTGACACACGCATTTCAGCCTCCTTAGTGGATTGAGACAGACAATAAGTGCAATTAAAATGACACTGATTGACCTCTGGACAGACAGCATTGAGAATGCCATCAAAGGATGCTAATTTTACTCACATGAGGTGTTTTGTGTTGCTAGCACCTCAAAGCAGCCACACCCAAACCCTAAATTAATGCAAAACGGACGAAAAAAAAAAGAGGGCTTGGGACATTGGAAGGGAAAAAAAATTTGTTTTGCTTGTAGCGCTTGACTGTCTCGCTTTGAAGCAGTGCACTGAAGTGAGCCTACAGGAAACCTCCCCACGGACTTACAATGGTGTGCCAACGTTTAAGGACCAAACCTTCCCTCCCCTTACTCCCCACTGGCAGTAAAAGCGAAACAGGATGTGTTCCATGGCACATTGTAATCCTATTGTTTGGTTGACAAAGTGCTGGTGGGATGAAAGTGATGGCGTTCTTTCCTTTTACCTCTTTCACACAAATCCATGGACAAGTGAACGCGCACACGAGGATCTCATCCCCCAAACTCCATAGACACGTTGTCATTTGATTGACTTAAATACTCAACTTTATTACAAACTTAAAAATTTAGTGTGCATTTTAAAATTGCCACAAATAATCACCGGTAACCACACGAATGCTTCCATCCACCTATTAAAATTGGTGCATTCATTGCCGCTCCGGAGCAGCCAATAACGGTATAAGCTTTTGATGATTTTGAGACACGCCAAGTTGGTGGTTACTTGTAGGACACGATGATATGCAAACACATTTCATATCTACAATCGTGTAAAAGAAGCACTCAAACCACTCAAACAGCATCGCTACAACAAAGCACTGACACATGTCACCGGTGAAAGGCAATGTGAAAACTTGGATGTAGAGGAAGAAGAAAACTAAATCGCTTTTGTCTAAGTGTTTCTAGCAGTTCATTGTTTTAACAGCTTATTTCGTATACGTAGTTGTAGGGTGACATATTTCGCGGTTTACTTTCATTACCTCACCTTGCATGCCTCTCTAAAATATCTAATTCAACTATTTGAGCATTTTATGACATTCTAAGAGCTTTTCTTTTTTTTTTTTTCAACTCTCATGAAATGGTGAAAGTAGACTAGCCTGACTGCGACGTGTCTCCAGTTGACTCCGGAAGAGGATTTGGGCATGATGCAGGCCAATGCCGCAGAAACTGGTGTAGGCTTCAAACAGGTTAACATCACGAGTGGAGAAGACGAGAGAGGTGTCATGCTCATCCACTGGCTTTTGCTGCTTTTTGTTCATGACTTGAGCTACAGCTAGCACATTGCCTTCACCATCCTTTATTGGCATACAAATGAGGCAACGAGTATGGAAACCCGTTTTCAAGTCCACCTCTCGATTGAAGCGAGGATCCTGGAATAGAAGAAGGAAGATAGAAGTGAAATGTCAATGTGAAAGTTGTGTGGCTTTACACTTGTTTCCACAAAGAAAAAGGAGAAGACTGCCAACAGTCTAGAGGCGAAAAAACACACTACACGTGCAGCTCACGTGAGGTTTTAGAATATGCGCAGTAGAAGGGCTTACTTTTGGAAAGTCAATCCAGTAGGCAACTCTCTAAAGGGTTGCCACTGCGCTTGTCCAGCTCGAGTGTGCATTTTAAGCAATCTCACCCAACTTATAAATAGACAAAAGAGCATAAACTGACAATCAGTAAAGTTGGCAGTGCATAACAAAATATGTGGAATCCAGGGGTGAGTGATTCAACAAGAGCTATAAGCATTCGCAGCGTTTGTCAAAAATGACGACCGATGCGTACGCAAGAACCAATCGCATCAAATGGAGACATTATTGTTTCACGCAAATTTCGATGACAAACTACAAGCAAGATGGTGTATTCCTTTTGTGGTCTTTAATGGAAAACGTCAACAAAATTGGCTACTACTGTCTACCGTGGCCTTGAACAATGGCCAATGCGACCTTCAAGACTTGACGTCAACAAGCATTTATAGACAATCATTGTTGAACGCTTCTGCCCACAAACTAACCAGTCTTACGTGGATGAAGGAACATGTCAATTGTGGGTGAACTTTGGAGGAAAACTTTTGATAGTAAAGTATCAAAACCGTAGTTTTTATTTTGGGTGAAAGATATTTTTAAAGTCTGCTTCAGAATGCACACATGTAGCAGAATTGGAGGAATTATAGACAGCCATACGTTAGGTGGTTCACATACTCTCAAGATCTTCAGCGAAATGTAACTAACTTACTGAAATTTCTGGATGTATATATTTGTTGGAAAAAAGATTTTCAAAACCAAATCAAAATTTGCCAATATTGATGGCAAAAGTTTTGCAACCATAAACTTGCCTCATAAACATTTGAAATATTTACAGCTTCGCCTGTCTGTGCTACCCAGCCGACAATTCCAACCCCAAAAGGGAGAGAGACGGTTTTCGCCTCAGATTTGTGCAGAGCCTCAACTAATGTGCATTTTGCTGTCACGTCGAATAATTTACTGACAAGAAATCGATCACCCGTTGAAGAGTTTACTTCTACTATGAATAAAGAGGCCCGATCAGCATTCAATAGGAGACAGGCATTTCTAAGGATTTTGAAACACAGTGATGACAGATCTGAATCGCTCCAAATGTCCAAAACCAGTTCCTTCATAACGTCGTTTGAATAAAACTCCTTGAAAGTATCCGCAAGGGCCTTCAATCCTTCAGGTTTTTCTTCCTGATCGGAACTTATATTGGAGGGCAAACCAGAAGTTTCAGTTGAAACTGTTTTGGAGGACATCTGACCCGAGAAGTCGTTTTTAGGCAGGCCACCACCAATCGACACAGATGCGAGAAACGACTGGCAGCCATCGTGTCCAGTTGCTAAGATTGGATGGAATGCCAACGGCTCGAATTCGCTGCTACTAATTTTGCGAATAGGCATCTCCTTGTTTTTCGATTGAGGTGCAACAAACGAATTCATCCGTGCAAAATTACTCTGAAAAGGGTATAGACTCTTTGACTTCTTGAATGCTGATGCACGAAGCAAATCCTCAACAATGCTTTGGGAGGCATGTGAGTATATATAATTTCGGAGCGTGTTAGTATTGTCATCTAACCAGGCGAAAACAGCATCCTCAATGTTTTCAAAATCATGAAACTCTTTTGGCCTGCAGAATGGGCAAATATCACCTTTATCATTACTACGTAGTTCAGATGGTTCCATCTATCACCAATGCAACTGCAGAAAGCACATCTTCATATGGGTATAATGTTTCCTCAAGGACGAAATTGATTAGCATAAACAAACCAAAGAAAACTATCAGATTTTGTCATAGGTACCATTCTAGGCCATTTACAGCAAAACCCCTAATATTTTTAATTTTGGAAACGTTTTTAGTCATAAAACAATAATGGTTGCTCTTTGATAGCCAAATGCATAGTAATACTTGTCAAGTTAGCAGCAGTTTTAAGCGGGTATCCATTACGAGTAGCATTATAAACCTGACTCTTTGCTTTTTAGTAGTATTAAATGAATAGGCAAAGTTTTGCTACAAAAGAAGAATCATTTATCTTCTATTATACCGAAACTGCTCCTGCTTAAATTTTTACATATTTTAACCCAATTCGGGTAAAACTGATAACAGGTGTCCAAGCAGCACAATTATTGTAATGATTTGCATTTGTGGCTTAATTTCTGCAAAGCCACGTGTGGCTTCACTTGCAAATGATGTAGAACGCTAATGGACAAGACAAATAAATTGAAGCTTGCCCTTGTTATAAAATGAGTTACGTCCTAAAATTTTATGCATTCCGAACCTCTGAATCAGTTTTAATCCTAACCATCGTACCTTGATGACCACCTCTATTTTATAAAGCTTCAGTCATATTCTGGGCTAATGTACTAAAGCTTGATTTTGCTGAGTTCACTCTGCAGCTCAATGTCTCTGCTTCGGAGCTACCCGAGCCCCATTTACCACCTCCGTCTGGGCAGCTTTATGACCATATCTATGTTGGTTCTGTATTAATTCATAAAACGCGCCAGTATTAAAACTTGTTTTTGACTTTTATAAACCAACTGAATCTTCACGCCCTACATTATTTCCTTTCTTGTTCAATTCGCCAAATGAAAATTTGGGGTAAATGTTGTTGGACAGAAAGACACTTAGGGGAATCAAACCTTTTTTCGTGTTTACTTTAACCGCTGAAAAGGTAATGAACGTGGGCAATAAAAGTAAAATTTATCTTCCATTTTAGTGTTCGCAGTCGCAAGCCCAGTCAGGCAGGGCCTAATTTTAACCGCTAGATCCCTGATAACGCTATGGCGAGTGGGCTTTTAATGTAGCCTTTGATATCAGTTGCAGGAATGTCGGCCAGCCTATGGCCAGGACGGGCTAAATTAGCCAATGAGCCAATCATCGCGACACCACAAATGACTGCCAATCACAAGCAAGCTACTACTGGGACGGACAATCGCGAAATCTCATGCTCGCCTTTCTACAGACTGACCTCTGCTTTAAAAGTGACTGCTACGTAAGCTTTACAAAGTGGGATGTATGCATCAGCACAAACCTTTGGAGATGTGCATAACAAAGGAGCAAAAAGCATAGCAAACAGGATTCCGCTGAAAACAATTTATTCACTCGAGAAAACTCCACGTTTAAGGAAATCAAAATGCATAGATGACGTGAAGACGACTCCAATACTTATTCGTGACGGCTCCACGATAGTTGCAATCAAACAACGGCTTTTAGCTCAAGGAATGTTGATTGATTCACCCTTACCGGTTAGATCCAAGAAAACACGGTGCTTTGCCCTGCTGAGGCGCAAAAGGGTCATGTGTAACATATGGGATGATGAAAAAGTGCTCAGTTTATTATTCCAAAATCTACGCCCAAAGGACGTGCTCACCTGTTCAATGGTATGCAAGAAGTGGCGACAAATGCTCATTCCTGAATACACTCAAAATTTGCAGCTGGTGATTAACTTTAAGCGATATAAAGAGCAGAAAGTGGCACCAATAGAGGAACAACTTCGCTTGGCCTATCAGTGGAAGGTGACTGCAATCTCTTTGGTTTGCATGCGAGACGATTGTGTCTACCCTTTTATTAGTGCATATTACACAACATTTAAAGAATTCTTCCCTGGCTGTCCGATTTCTACGCCAGAGATTACTCACGGTTCGTTTAAATCTGTGCCAAATTTACTTTCTCGGTCTCCAACTCAACATTCCTCGTGTGCTGACAGCTTGGAAAGTGGCAACCTTCGACGTCTAGGCAGCGCACCAATCGAAGTGCTCATGAAGGCATCACGACATATCACTCAACTCACCGTTGACAACTGCTGTCTGAGTGACGTGGCTCTGGAACAGATACTTAACGTCATGCACACAGTAACAAACCTATCCATTGTGAGCTGCAACTGCCTTTCTGATATGGCGCTTTGGTCGTGCCTTCGGCCTTGGATGACGCATATCACCGTGAGAGACTGCCTAAATTTTAAAGATGACGCTCTTCAGGCCATTGTTCAGTCTACTCCTGGACTGCAAGAGCTGAATCTCCAGGCAAGCATTTTGTGGTTTTGAACGGTATTACTCATGTGGGTTTTAAAGGCCTATGGGCCCCTCAGGTACCTATTTGTCATGGGTGATGACAAAATAGACAATCCAAGAGGGAGTATATGATGCCTCCTCGAGTTCCTTTCTTATTTCAACTCAAATTTAATGCTGGCCCTATAATCACTTTAGAGTGATTAAATTTCGCTTGGTAGATATATCATCTCTCGGATGCTGCAATGGGAACTTTTATGTCTCGTCGTCACTTCAACCTACGAGTTCTTCGCCTTGCATTTGGCTCTGAACTAACCTTATTAGGAGTGGCGAATCTGGTTGGCTCTTTGCCGGGCCTACAGGAGCTACGACTCATTGGCTGTTCGCGAATTGATGATGCAGCCGTCGATCTCATTTGTGAACACATGCGCTATCTACAGGTGTTGGAAATTTCCGCCAATCCAATCATTACAGACGTCGCCCTCGCGACTATTGGTGAATCTCTAGAACAGCTGGAGCAACTTTCATTGGATAGGTAAGAAGCCAATCACCTTCTTGCAGCCTCGATGCGGAACCTGGTCTGTGCCTCGATTGTAGGAACGAGCATGGAGTGCAAAATTTGACCAAAAAATAGCGTTTTTTTTGCTCTGTGAACTAAAATATGGTATTATTAAGTCCATCAATTTGCAAATCACCAGTTGCGTCACAGCAAAATGCGGATATGCGAAAGGAAGCTGTTCCCATATCAAAAGCATACTTAAATTAGTTTAAGTATGAATCTAAGCAAAAGTTTATGTAAGTTCATCTGCAGTGTAGTATGAAGGCTTCAAGTGAAGCCCTTACATCGAAGAACTAGGCTAGAATGGATTATGAGATAATGATTGAGAAAGGGCTAAGACCGTCGATTATAAAAGAGGCTTAAAATTGTTGGGAGAACAAAATACAAATGCTGCTATGTTACAACTTAAACGCATCGATCCTTTAACAAAGCTAGTTTACTTGTTATTAGATGCAGGGAAATAACAAATCGTGGAATTCGAACACTAGAAACTCTTTCACATCTGCAAATTTTGACCTTACGATGGTGTCCCGCACTGACAAACGAGTGCTTACCACATCTTATCGCCTTAACTCGACTTCGTTTCCTCAGTTTGGCGGGTAAGGAATAGTCTGAAACTGCAGGCAATGCATATTCATGTCAGGAGAACTTAGAATATTTGGCACTTTTGCTTTTGTTTTTAGGGTGTAAGGCATTGACAGTTGAGGGACTACTCAGCCTCGCTTCCATGAAAAGTCTGCGGAAACTTGAAATCACAAACACCAACAATGTTCACCAGAACAAACTGCATTTAGCAAAATATATGCCGAACTGCAGCATTCTGAACTAACTATGCATGTATGAGCACTTTTAATTTGATAAATCAAACTTTTATCGTTTAAACCGCATACACAATCAAGTACAAAAATGCTTTGCCTTAAAAGTTACAATAATTAAGTTGTCACCAAGTTATTGTAAATAATTCGCTACGATGGTTAGGGTGCTTGCGTTTTATGACAAGATTTCGTGGGTGTTTAAAAAAATACGGGAGTAATTTTGAGTGTAAATTTTTCGCACTTTTAAATGTCTGTCAAATGGCTCAAAAGAATGGATAAAAATGTGAAAAACAAATGTGGTTAAAAGGGTGTATTTTTTGGTACAGCGAAATGAACAGGACAGCAAACATGACGTTAAGGTGAGCCCAACATGAGCTCGAATTTTGGCTTCATCACAAGAACCCGAGATCAGCCGCTTACTTTATGCACAAAAATTTACTATTGTGTGATTTTGACCATCAAAAATAAATAAGTGTAAAAAGCAAAGGTCTAAATGCCAACCTCAGCAGGCAGTAGGTTTTAGATCAATCAAAGAAGTACTTTACCATAAGCTAAATACTCCTTCGTGACAGTACCACCAAACCTGGACTTTTCAGAATAGAAACGCGATTTTATGGATGGGAGCTTGTTCTGCTTACCATTCTTGCCTACAGTTGGTCTTGGAAAAGGGGCTTGGGAGCAGCTACATAATAGTAAATATGATCAAGCAGCTTTAAAGAGAAGCGGTTTCCCCTACACCAATTGTCGCGAAATCTTTCTACTTCAAAATTGATCGTCAGAAGGCCTCTGGTTCTTACACATCCAATGGGAAATTTCAAAAGTGTTCGAGATACAAAGTAATTAACAACAAACAACGACAACAAATGACTCATCTGATGATTGCGAATAAACGGACGAATGCCACAAATAGAGCTTACTATGATATAAGCCGTTGCCTAGTTGCATCCGTTCGAATGCACCAGTCAGAAGCACATAATCAAAATAAATTCCTTTAGATATGCTCAAAAATCTTGCTATCAATAAGAGGAAGCATGTAGAGTTCCCTGACAATAAGCCGACCCATGTTTGTCCAATTTGTATCATATTGTAAGGCCACGCCTAGATGGAATAGTTTTATACATAAATAAACCTATTGTAATGCTTCGCTTATGTCACCACCCCATGTCTGCCGATTAAATATGCATTCTTCTGGTCTTAGAGTCAAGCACAGAAGTTACTTCTTTCCTCTTTACTTAATGCCTTTTTCTACATAGTGGAACGTCTCAGGAAGCTACAATTGTAATATATACCAGTGTTTAGGTTGACCTTTGCAGGAGAGAGTCAAAAAAATGACATTTGAACACGAATCCGGTGAGTGAGGGTCATGACAAATCTCTCTCGGGGTGGTATAAACTATTCGGCTCATCGGCACTCATGTCCCCATTCTTCATGTAAAAATGCCTAATAAATCTACTGCAAACAACCCTCTCTTGAAATCCGTAGTTTAAGAGCATGAGGCTAGATGGGCGCTTCCCACAACAAGTGCGATGCTAAGCACTTAGCTTCATTTATTCATTAATGTAATGCTTTGCTTATATGACTACCGGACGCACACGTAGACTGGCCTTCGGGTCACGCTCAGGCCCTATTTGCTCTCTCGTCTTCGAAATACATGTATTCAACCTCACTTATGCTTTCTACTACCCTATGGGAAGCAACGGGACGCTACAATTAATTTATCAAGGTTAGGCTAAACATTGTGTACGCTTAAAATAGACTATGAAGCATAATCGACTAAAGTGTTGCAGTAAGAATAAAAATATGCTATTTAAAAGGTACATCTGCAAAACCTTTTTATCAGTGTTGATCGCATCTAAAAAAGCTGACCAAACATCTAAGATCGTACCAACCATAAACCAACAAAAGACATTACTGTCGTGGTCTTAAAATTTTATACTTAAAAAATTAAAAAAGTTTTTAAAGGACTTATTATTAATATAAGCTTACCATTAAAAAGGATTGCACTTACCGTACAGCATTCCGGTATCCACTTTGTGAAGGTCAGTACTTTGCGTGCACTCTGGTCGCATTTATAGTTATCTGTGAGGCTGTACTACCTACTCCCCTCAATTCTTTTTCTGCGTATAATATTATTTACAATTTTATATTGTTTGATATGCAGACGTCTGCGTGTCCGGTGAAAATCCATTTATATCTCCCCCATGTTCGTCGTTGTTCCAATCACCGACGTTGTCATTATTAAACCAAAAAAATTTGGATCTGATATCAAAGAGGTTATTGCTCATGACCTAAATTCTCGTTTTTCAAACAAGGCAAGTTAACGACCTTACATAGTGCACTTTAGGTTCTGCATAAGGTTGGGTTGTGCATTTCCCTATGGGATATCACTAAAATAGGAGATATGTATATTTTACAGGATAGCGGATCGTACCAAGTTGTTGGTAGTGCTCTTTTGCTTCATGCTAACAAGTTTCTAGTCTCTTTTCGGTTTGTCTGCTTCCGCCCATCAATAGACGAGGTGATAATTGGAACAGTGAAAAATTGTACCCCAGATGGTCTGCACATTTCACTATATTTCTTTGACGACATATTCATCCCAGCGGATAAGCTACGACACCCGTCGAAATTGTAAGCCTACTTCAGAAATAAAGCCAACCATTTTCTTTAAGTGATTTTGAGCAGCAGTGTTGGATCTGGCAATATGAGGACGATGGAGAATCAGCAGACTTGCGCATTGAGAAGAATGACACAATCAGGTGAAGTTGCTTGGCCTCGCCTAATTTCTCCAATGTTTGTAGTAAAACAGTCATCATTGCTAACCCACTTCCCTCTCATGATTTAGAATCCCTACACATTTGTTGTGTCTACCCCAGCCTATAGTGTGATAAACATCCTGATCCCCATTCTTTGTAGTTGAGGCACTAAACCATGTTTTGTACCTGGCATTTAGATTTCGTGTAGAGCAGGAGATTTGGCAAGATCCGAACCCAAGCGGAGAAAGTCGAGACCAGAGTCAGCCAACGTCCCCCTTCGGAGAGAAATCTCCTTACGTTATTCTTGTGAGTCAAACATATGCTTTCAGTTTTTCGTACAATCTTCATTTAGCTAAACATAATTAATATCCAATATATTTCAGGGATCTATAGTCTCCGACGGACTTGGTCTAACCTGCTGGTGGATCAATTAAACCCTATTATAACGACATCTGTACATATATTTTAATAGACGACTGAATTACAATCCGAAAGAATCTGAGCATCAGTCACATCCAAAATCTGATGAAAGACGTCGTCAGACTAGAACTGCACGAACGGTAGTGCGGCTATGTCTGTTACTAAATGGAATACGGTTTCTCATCATCTAGCGCAGGGGATACAGATACACGAACTTACCGGACATATACCGCTTATACACGCCGACAAAGTAGATTGGGGACTTCAGAGAAAATGTTGGCAGGTGTCAAGTTGGATTGTAAAAACAAAGGGTTCAAAACTGGAGGGAACAACTGTCAGAGGATGTACACAATGCACCAGGTTTGGATGAAGTGACGTTTAGTTCAGCACAAATTTACAGATTTACAAGAATAGAACTGCGCAGCACGTATGCTTGACTAACGCTGTTGTTGTTGTGGTTGCCTCGGGATGTCCGAATCCTCGCCCTCAGCCTTGCGAATTGGAATTTGCTTACTAGGAAACTTGTAAACCCCGCGCTGATTTCCCCGGTAATGAACACCACCGGCCCTGCGACCCCGATAGCCACCTCGGAAAGCTGCTCCAACGCGATTGGCAGCCGGACCAAAGGTATCAAAATTCTGCTTTCTATCCTCTCGGTGAGACCGACTTTTCACAACACTAAAGAGACGCATTACGTAACCAAAAAATCAGCAAACCCATGAGCTCTATCCATCAGCTCCGAACTCAGGGTGTCAAAAAAAGACTTGCTGCTATCATAGGTGTCAGCATTCTCAAGGTTTGTTTCCTCACCGTGTTCAGATTCAGTATTGCTGTGCTAAACGATCAAAATTAGCCAAAGAACGGGGTAGATTTACAGGAGCTATCTCAATTTTCTCAAGAAACTCAGCCAGTTCTGCATTGGGCTTGTCAAAATCGTAGTCCTCTTTGAAGTCCAAATCTTCGGAACGCGGTTTATTAGCATGATCATAATGTCGTTGCCTTTGATTGTAATTGCGACGGGTACCTGGATGCTGACTCGCGTTGGAGGATCCGCGGGGCCGACTTTCTCCATGACTACCGTTATTACGCCCACCAAAACGTTGATAATTCGAATAACTAGGTCTAAAACCACGACCGCGTGATCTATTCTGAAAATCTCTTCGCTCCTCACCGTTTCGAATGGAACTCGAAACATTTTTGGAAACATCTTTGGAATCAGACTCCTCAATATTCGGGGTCATATTAGCGCCAATACCAGCAGCAGAGGCTCGATCATTTTCACCACCACTCAAAGTATCCAGATTACCCCAATGCGTTGTAGGAATATCAGATAGCAGATCAGCCGGTGGTTTGGGTGTCATGAAATTCGGAAACGACGATAGTGTAGAACTTTCCGGCTGTGAAAAGAAGCTCGATGTACTTGGAGCATCACCACTCCCCAGAGGTTTCTGTTTCGGTAATGGATTAGACTAAATAAAGTGGTCAAAAAATAGTGTGACTACCATACCTCAAGCTCCGCACTGATGATTGAGGGATCGTCACCTACGCGAGGGGACGGCAGCAACTGCAAATCAACTAACTCCCTTCCGCGGAAGGCGATATGCTCGTAGACCTCGCTAAGCGGTTTCACTGGATGTTCACAAGGTCTATCTTCCGTACCGTATGACGTAACTGAACTGGGTGCCCACAAACTATCTACTCATACCTTTGGATAGAACAAGAACAAGATCATCGTTCTCATCTTTACGAATGGAGAAAAGCGTCCCTTCATAACGAATCTGCGCCTTAGAAATAATCCGAATACGGTGTCCAACTAATGAGAACTCAAGCAACGACATGACAGAGAATTTGAAAACTGCACGATCACCGACGAAGACAACAAAAAACGTCCAAGGCACAATATTAATGGGAATGAAGTAATGTAAAAGATCTTAGTGTAGCAAAACAAAACAAAGAGGAGCACGGATTGTTATAAACAACTAGAGTAGTGTGATTTTGCTTAATTTTGATTTTTATGCAAGATTTCAGGTATGCAAGCCCATACTCTGAGTTTTGTGGCATAGCTTAGTCCGCTATCTTCAAATAATATTTATTCAAATTTGAGTTAGCATTTCATCTAAGCAGCTGTAAGAAAAGTTTATCATTCTTCCACATCAACGCCCATTTCATCTATTCCATCAGATAATTTCGGAATGTTTTGCTTGCATGAATTGGTTTTGATGAGGTAAGGTTTTAAAGTGACGTTCGATGTAGTAAAGTCGCGAAGTGATTTCCACTCGTGTTCATGGTTGGTGCATTTCACCATTTTAACGATTACTCTTATGCGTTTCGATAACATTGACAATCGACTTGTTTCCGCATCTGCAACTTCCAGAGGCCAAAGATATAATACTTATTTGTGGGAACATCCAATGTCCGATAATTGCTTTGATTATAAGACTACCGGGTTTTGGCGGTCATCTTAGGGTTTGCCTGGCCCTTATACTCGCGGTCTGGCCTTCGGACCATGCTCAAGTCCATTTGTTTTATTTTCTTCGAAATACATATATCCAGCCACGCTTACGGTCTTCTTTCACTCTATACGAAGTCTCGGGACGCTACGTGCGCATGAGCCAAGCTAAGGCTCAAACCTTCTTCTTTCCTCAGAATACATGCATTCAACTTAAAGTAGTGCCTTATTTTTGACTTGGTGGGTAGTGACACTTGCAAAAGTTCTGCATCATAATCCTTGTTCCTACGTTCCCATACGGACGTTGAAAATACAACTACTCCAGATTCTCTCCCATGTAGTGTATTATGAAATGGAGTGTTTAAGTTGACCTTCATAGGAGAGAAGCATAAGGTGAATTTCAAACGGGACTCGGTGCGCGATGGTCTTGATGAATCCCTCTACAGATGATATTTGCTATTCGGCTCACCTTTGCTTCTACCTCCGTTCTTCCTGCAATCAATGCCTAATAAGTCTACGGCAACTAACTCTATCTTAAAGCTCGTGGTTCAAGGGCATTAAGGTGGGCAGGCAGTTTTTTACACGTGGGGCTACGTTTGATTCTGTCTTTCCCATTAAACATCTGTTTTAGATTTGTCTTCCTTATTCTAGCCGTGGTCAGCAATGATAGTCAACATAAAATCTTTGCTACGATTTCTGTTCTTAGACCGAGCTTAGGTCCAGATCCAGTTGATGCTGCTGAGGTGACCAGTCAGAATCCCCCATTTTCGTTGAACCTAGCGACTGACGCGGATGGCTCGTGGATGCTTCCTTTTAGCAGTACAGGATATATTGTGATGGATAGCGCGAGAGATTTACCAAGAGGAGCACAATGGACGTTACTTAGAAGAAGAGAAGGGCAGTATAATATGCTGCCAATGAGTTTACAGTGTAGAGACATTTGTTACTTCGAACGATAATACCGAGCTTGTGGAAACGAAGAGTCCTCTTGCATAGTAGAGTGAACGATGCCCTATAAACCATCTCAAACAAATCCTGTTATGAATTCAGACGTACTGGAGCCTGAGAGCAGACTGGGATGTCCTACAGCAATCAGCGCTGTTTGGTGGTCAGTTTGTTAATTCTATTAGTCGTAAAGGCGTTGACTTGACTGTAATGCTGTGTTTGTGACTCTGATGTTTGGCGGTCATTTTAGGATTTGTCCGACCCTTCTCGAAGGCAGGCCTTCGGACTACGCTCAGGCCCATTTGCTTTGTCCTCTTCGGAACACATGTATCCAGCTTCACTTATTGGGTTCTTCCATCATGTTGGAAGTCTCAAGTCGCTACATGTTCTTCTGTCAATAGCAATGCTTAATTACTTCTCTTTCTTTAGAATATACATATTCAGTCTGAGTGCCTTCTTTCACCTGGTGGGTAGACTTGGGAGACTACACTCAGTGCACATACTTTGGATTGAGGTAGAGGAGTTCATATTCCGTGTCCAAAGTTTTCGTTTATCCTCAGAGACACTTGGTTTTCAAAGATTTCATTCACAAGGTGCATCATTTCATCAGGCCCGCAATTTTATGTTATAATACTGACCTGCTCTAATACTAATTTTAAGCTTTCTCTTGACTTTTTATAACCTTGAAGTGGCAACAATGACTTAATTGATTGGTCACATTATTTTAGTGTGTTATTCACACTGTCGATTGAAAGAGGCATTTTAATTCCTTTCTTGCTCCCGTTGGAACTTCGGGTTTCAGGACTGTAGGCTGCTCATGAATATACCAGCTTAAAGATACCAAGAGGCATTTAATAAGTCCAGTTTTATTTTAAGAATTTACTTAATTTCAATATTATGCAATCTTGCGACCTATGCAAGCCTGAGAAATTCGATAAGCAAGATCGTTGGATCATCGCTTGTAGATGCAATGAAAATCTGTCATTAGGTGAGTAGCAAATTTTGCGTCTTAATTATCGTTAGCCCAGGAGTGGAATTGGGCACAATCGGAAGAGGATAGAAAGTCTTTCACGTTATTTGAGGATAACAAGTCAGTTGTATTTCATCCGCGAAGCAGTCTAGGTACGGCTGTTGTTCGAGGCTCTGAACTTCTCAGCTCCGGTATCCATTATTGGGAGTTGAAAGTTATTTCTCCAGTGTACGGTACCGATGTGGTATGGTAGTTTTCGATACATTCGCGATGCTTTTCAGATGTTTGGTATTGGTCTTGCGGATGTTTGTCTTACTGCCTACCATTCCCGTTTTGTGTCATTCCTTGGTTTGGATAATAAAACCTGGGGACTTGGTTTCCGAGGCCAGTTACAGCATAACAAACGTCTCATACACCCTCTCGGAGCGTCTTTTACACGAGGCGATCTCGTCGGCTGTCTTCTGGACCTCTGGCACAGAAAACTCACCTTCTTTGTTAATAGAATAGCTATCACCGACCCAATGTAGATATCTAGCAATTTATTTACCTTTTTCAGCCCGCTTCCATTGGGTTCGTTTTATCCCATGGTTTGTTCTACGGCTGCTCGGAGTGGTTTCAGGATAATCTTCTCAAAATCCTACGATATTAGTCTTCAGCTGCTTACTTTAATTTCTCTTAAGGCATCCCCACATAGTTTGTCCACTATATTCAATCTACCTGGCCTTCCACCTAGCCTTCAGGCAAGTCTTTCGTTTCTCGGTTATTGCTGTATCGTAAACAGTCCTTTTACCACAACAGCATACCGTGGGTATTCCACAAGTCATACAAACGACAGCGTGTGGAACCATTTCTCTTTCCTGAAATGAAGCATAAGTTGCGTCGCCTCTCAAATGTAAGTCATTATAGGCATTTCATCGTCCTCTTAGGTTGTTCAACAGTGCTTGGATGAGTAATTTTGAATAAATATTATTTCCCCATTCAGTCGCCTTCTTTTGCACGTTTGCATGGCTTCGTAAGCATTAGCATGCACGCGTCACAGGTCCATGTCCGATCATATGAAGGGGTTTCGGTAGTTCTAGGTCAGATTACTCATGCATAGTGGGCGACCATCATCCGGTGATCGCGCCCGGATTCGACGCGCCATGCATACCTCACGTCGACAAACTACTGAGGTGGGCTACATATCCCCCACCTCCTTGTCGTCAACACCGCCTTCTAGCTCCCTTGCGGATCCTCTCAGAAGCCAAAGTCAACCCCCTTCTGGCGACGCTTCGGTTCAGGTATGCGGAGTTGGTTTTGTTTCCTTTCTCACGAATTATGTATAGAGTGAGTTATCGAGACAACGAAGTGGTGAAGGCCTCCTTCACACTGAGTCGACAAGCTATATGAATCCGCGTGTGTCCACATTGGCAGCGCCGGCTTCACCTTGCACCATTAGTACCGCCGGTGGTGCCAACCATTTGCGATCCCGCTATCGATCCGCTTCTTCGATTTCATCTACCTCCGGCCAGCGACGTTCAACCGATTTTGGCGTTGGAGGAGCTGAAAGCCTCGTAGGTAGCGAGGACTCCTCCACCTCTGAATTCCATCCCCTTGCACCCAGGGATATTGGCAGTAGTGGGGTGGGAGGCGGAGCATTACGACGCAATGAGGGTGCCAGTGTCACTGGTCCACAGCTCTCTTCGCTCGTCGTACGCACTCGACACGCTTCGACCGAAGTGCCGCCTTCACCACAACCGCCACCCTCACCACCGCCCGAGTCACCCGTCGTTTTTCGGTTACGGCAGGAAAGCGCTTCGAACGCCCTAGTCGCTACCAAAAAAACCGTAGCCGTGGTAAATAAACAACCGAATCCTTAAAGTTTTGACTTGATTTTAATTTTTACTTTATCTTGGCGTTTACTTAATTATCTCAGCGTTTAATTAAGTCATCGAAAGCTTGAGCGGATAAGGCTTTCATCAACCTCGAATCGTCCCACAAATTGGTTGCATGTGTCTACATTTCATTCAAGCATAACAATGCGATTCAAATCAGAATAGTTCTCCCTGTCATGGCAACCAAGGTGTGCGAATTTATTAGAATTATGCACTTTTGTTTGTGTATATTTTTGGTGCATTCAAGCTACTTACTGCAAGGCTCGTTCCTCTCGTGTCTTTTCACTAAACGGCATTGTTTGTGCGCTGATTTGGCACCTGAACAAAAATCAGCACTTTACATATGGATTAGGTGTCTGACTATTGCCAAAATTGGCCCTACCACAGGCAATACGGGATGAGCTCAATTCCCTTTCTCTGAGAACATGTTCTTATCCGGATTGTTTATATCTTGGACATGGGAAATGTGGCTCAACACTAAGCTATATTGCATGTTTGTGCAATCGGTGGCAGTGTTGAGACAGATTTGGTCCTTCCCACTGCGTGTAATGCAGCTGCACTAGCATCCCTTTTATTGTAAGCACACATTATAGAAAGTTTTGCTTTGATTTGAACGTCTCATTTCTCAGATGATGCGACTTGCTTGATGACGCATGTCACAGCTGACTTTACAATAACACAGCTACTGGAGCTATGAGACATTGTCCAAGACTGGCTGTCAGTCTACGATGATTTTTTAAATTGAACAAATTTAAGGTTACTAAACGTTATTCTGTGTTCCCTTGTGCACCATAGTTAACATATGGTCAATGCAAGTTGTTCAGTGGGAGACAGTCTTGCTGAAACACATGGGAAGTCTGCTTGTTACTTGATCCAAAGCCTAAAGTCGGTCCGTAGTACTTGATCTCGGGATTCCACTTTGATTCTACAAAAATGGGAGTGCATGGCATGGACCTTGATACTTGTTCTTTCAAGAAGCAAAGTATTTGGCTTTGCGAGCCTTCACTCCGCATTTAGGTGCATCGTTCTTACAACTTTGAAATGGTAGGTTAAGCGTCAGTGAAATTATTTTGCAATCGTTTTTGCGCTTTGGGTATTAAACAGAATCATGATCCCGAATCCGACCACGACTTGTACCCCGGTGAGAGCTCTCGTCTGCCCTTTCGCGGCGAAGATCAAATGCAACGTGTCTTCCACAGCCTCAATGAGATGCGTCGGTGAGTGAGTTATTACCTTTTTTGTCTCTCAAATGGTATTTGCTTGAAACCGCAGGATTTTTAAATCATTGCTATTAAAATCAGTGTAGCTTGAGTGGGTCCGCAACAGCTACTTTCATTTGACCATCACATGACTTTTAATCATGAGCTAATTTGCAGTAAGTGCTAACGTAACCTATTACTAACTGGTCAATCATCAAATAACCATCTTTAACCCGTATATTCATCCATCCACTCATTTCTATCAACCCACTAATTATCACTTGGGCGGTGAGTTGCTGCAGGTGGTAGCATAGCGCATATCAAAGACTTCCAACTATGCAGTAATGTGAGATTGGCTGAAAGTAGTGAAGCCAACTCTTTCTTTACATGATGCGAATTCTTTCCATGTGCAGAAGTCCGAACTATTTTTGCCTACATAACCTTTTCACACGCATTTTTGTTGCTAGTGAAGTGATCTGACAAGCGTTTAGGTGGTATAAAGGTATATCTTTATTTCTTAAAGATTTCGAAGTGATGTAGAGCATGATCTGCGATACTCTCTTATGCTGCCGACCCCGACCGCCCTGCCAAGTTTAGGGATTATCCTAAAGACTGGTCATCTGCCTTCTGAACTCCTGTCACACCACCTGTTTACGCCTTGACTACTGACAATTGATCACGACCTCACAATTTGCTATTATCGCACTCTATATGACATTAACGCCGGCACAAAACAAAGTGGCTCCTTTTTTGTTGCAGCTGGGACTCGGTTTCTTGCAAATTTGATGTAGGTTATGGAAATAACGGAAATCTATTCCGTTATACAAAATAGGCCACATCTCAATTACGCCTCGTCGAGGCGACAGCCGTTGCAGCGTCGAGCTTACGTGTACTAAGAAGTAGTCGGGTGCTTTCATCTATCACTGCAAGTCTTCTGCATTTGTCCTTTCTTCACGCAATAATCTACCCCATTCAAACCTCCTCACTGAGCGTGACTATGCACCATCCAGCCGCCATTGTGCTGTGTCTCCCCTCATTCCACAATGCGCCCACTCACTACAAAGATCTGCACAGCCCACGCGGTCAAAAGTCGTTGTACTCGCCCAACAACAACAACAACACAACTCCACACTACATTGCATTGCTCCTTCTGCACAACACATTTCAAATGGCATTTCGGTGTCTGTGCACAGGGCGCCGTGTTCATTGCATTGTGCGAGGAAGTGGCATTTATGATTGTTGCCGTTAACTTAACACCCACCGAGGCGGCCACTTCATGTAGTCACTTCTAACCCGCCAGAGTTGATAGAGAAGGCGACAATTACATTTGACTGGATGCGAATATGTTGTTCTCATCCATCAACCCGCACTTCACACCTTCATGGCCAGTTCTTCTTATGATCGGCGCTATTGTTTGTGTGCAGCTGAGCCACAATTGCGTCGTTCCACACTTGCTTTCGTACGAAGTCGAAGGCTTTCCTCCCATCCTGTAGTCATTTACAGGTAACTGCAAAGTGATTATGGTGATGCAGTGGAGGCGGAATCCTGTTATTTTTTTAGTTGGATATTAATGTAACCTCTGGGAATTATGACGAACCTTTGGGCAAATTTACGGAAACCTAGATGGTTGTAGGGAAGCTGATTGTGAGTGCAGGGTTTGTTTTCGTCCACATAGGAGACCAGAAATTATCCGCACGGGCGGATATGGCGTTTCATGTTTGGCTTTCTTGCCGATCGCTTTAACCTGACACAAATAAATGTAGAATAGCTTCCGCGTTTGAATTTTGCGTACTATCATTAGTACATTTGGCTTTAAATTCTTCTGTGGTAAGCCTTCAAGAGTCTCAAAGGACTGTCGACGCCTTGAGCATGTCTAAAGTCAGTGGTTCACTGCTTCGCCGGTGGATCATATTCGGCATCGGTTTGTCATGAGGCTTCCTCTCCTAATGCGCCGTAGCCATTAATCGAGGCTGAAGCATCACTTCCTGATGCACTTTGTTTCCAAAGTTGGACCCTTTTTCCTTTTTTCCCTCGGACGCGGCCTGATTGGTTTTTTTTCCCACGTCGTGCCGTTTTCACCGCAGGGCCGTTTGTTGTCTACATTCCCGCTACACAATAACTGACTTTAACTGACCAGTTGTTTATTGGATGTTATCTCTACCAAAGTCGATGATTGTCGCCTTGGTACCAAAAACATGGTCATTACTCTCATCAGTAAATAATTTGGGTTGCACGGCTGTCGCGAACTCTTGTGCCTGTTGCACCAACCTTGAAACTTTGCTCTCTAACACCTCGTTATGGCGACAATGTTGGGTTGTTAAGTGTGGTGTTAGCCGAGTTGACTAGGATCGTGAGTCCGTGATCTGAGTGACTGCATGGCGGTCTTTAATCCATCGTACGTCGTCTTCAGCGTTCCAGTTCGTTATTTTCTTCCATTCAGTTTACTTCTCCGTTCTCTTAGCACTGCCGAGGCAATGCTTGCCTCAAATGTCATTCGATGGTGCTTACTTACCACTCCTTTTTTTGTGGTATGACCTTTGATTACTGAACCGAAAACTTTATTGCCACAAGATGAAAAAGGGGAGAATTCTATTAAATTCCGTGCTACCTTTGCGAAGTTAGTGCTGCTCTGATGGTCATCAAGATCGCTTTGCAGCGGTGTCCGTCTTAACCCATTTGCCTTCCCCATCGCCTTCTTTGTATTCGTTGTTCGCCACAATGATACCACTTTAAGAGTCGATGTCATTAAAATACCTCGTGCCCTGAAAAAGGTTAACCTCTGGAATTAGCCGTGGTTCATCTCCACAAAATACGCAGTCCTCCCTGAGCAATTAGCTCGGGTTTATGGGATTTTAAAAGCTCATATACGAAAGTTTCGTTCTTCCCTATCGCTCTAAGCTATTTTTTACCATTTTCTTTCAATTACCCCTTTGACAGGTCAGTGTGATAGGTGAGGTAATGGAATTGACGCCATTGAGAGTGAAGACTTCATACACCGTGCATGAACGGCTTTACCAAAAGAAGCAGAGACCAAACTCGATCCCCTTTTGTTCAACCTAGGTGTTTTTTTTAAAAGACCACTCAACACCTATGGGAGACTTAAGTGAATGTCTTGTCCACGTGCTAGTCTCTGATTCACAGCGCTTTAGTTGTGACTTTTTTTGCGAAAAGTGGCGTCTCGGGATGCCTAAATCCGTAGCCTTAGATGCAGGCTTTCATGTCGCACGTTTTCTTGCCCAATACTTGTTTCATTAAGAATGGATCATCACATTTTGGAACCATAAAAGGCCAATACCTCTCCCTTTCCCTCTCCTCCTCGTTCACTTGCTCACCTTGAGATAGCACTTAGGTTGTGGTCTCTCATCCAAATGTTATTGTGACCTTTCATCTCTTTCAATGCGGAATGAGTGGGGAATGACGCCCACATCGCCCAATTTGAGTCACATCTCCGCAGAACACTTTTTCCATGTGCTGGCTGATGAAATTGCCTGCACTCCTGCCGTTGAATTCAAACCAAATTTGTACACCGAGCCTAAGTAACCAGAGAACCAATGCAAATCTGTTTGGCTGCCCATTTCTTGCCTCCTACCTCTTATTTTTGGTTGGGAACTTGAGTTTGTATGCCTCGCGTGTCGACTGAACCTGCTAAATAAGGTTTTTGTCCTGTCTGCTCGATAGACCGCGAAAATCCTCCTTTCCCGACAGTGGAAAGAATAGAGACATCTAATGAGATTAAGCAAGAAAAGGGGCTATCTATTTAAATGGCATTGCCTGCTTCATAAATAAGTCAGTTAATAAAGCAGATGCAAAGATGGATGGATGGATGGATGGATGGATTGAGGCAATGATGAGTGAATGCCCAGGTGAATGTATTGATACACTGCCAGGAGAATGCACACCTCGTGTTCATCAGTGTCATTATTATTGGCAATTCATTACCTTCCAGGCAGAATCTTCTCTGTGACGTTGTCCTCAAGGCCGGTAGTGTGGAGGTTCCTGCCCACAAGAATGTCCTAGCTGCCAGTTCACCATACTTTCACGCCATGTTTACTGGCGATATGACAGAGAGTCGAGCGCCTACCGTCACCATTGGCAATATCGACGGGACTGCTTTGAGCCTTCTCGTTGATTTTATCTATACTGCTGGTGCGGTGTCTTTTTCTACATTTAAATAATTTTCTTTTAAACTAATTCCTTTTAACATAATCAGAATACCCTTGACTTCATTGACGGGGATGTTTCGTAAATTCCGGCGGTCGTCACATCGTTACCAGGCCTTTTTATAAAGTAGGTCTAAAAGTTAAGCACTGGTCTCGTTTAATCCCCCTCACATGAGGTTGTGGAGGCTGATGGATTAGTGGTAATGAAGGCGATACTTGTTATTTGCCCCATGTGTAGAAGTCCTCATTACCGAGGAGACCGTTCAGTGTCTCCTACCGGCAGCCAATCTCCTTCAGTTAACCAGTGTTCGCGAAGCCTGTTGTGAGTTCCTTCAATGCCAATTGCATCCCACCAACTGTCTTGGGATTCAACGCTTCGCTGACATGCACGATTGTTCGGAGTTGCTTCAAGTCAGTCGTCGCTTCACTGAACAGCACTGTGGGTAAGTCGTCAGGTTGATTTCTCCCTCCTCCTTTCTAAATTGGTCCACTTTTCTTTTCTCTAGGTCTTAAAACAAACCACTGCGATCATTATTGCTGGGGTGAGTTATAGTTCTCGGACTTGGACAATCTGACAGCAAAGGGAAAGCAGCATTATAGTTTTCGAATGGTAAAACGTCATTTGAAACGTATAATAACT